GCACTATATATATATATTTTTTTATTTTATTTTTTTTTATTATTATTAATTATTTAATATGAAAAGTGGCCTCTGTATGACAATTGGGAATTATTTTTTGTTTTTACAAAAGTGTTTGCAATATTATTCTATTTTGTCAAAAAATATGCATTGACAAATTTACAGTAAGACAATTAAGAAAGTAAATATGATACATTTTTATTGCATGTCGACTTAAGGTTGAATTGTACATATATCAATGGAAATGAGCATTTGAATCTCACTGTCGGTGACTCTATAACAGTATGAAACCGCTCATGCCGCCCTGAGCGTCTCTGCGTGTGAACCGCTGAGCTGTCTGCATACAGCTGAAAACAAACAGAGCGTCAGAGCGGGACTCCTGTTGATAAACACTTCAGCAGCTGCCATTCTGCCATGTAGACCCTCAGACAGACTCAAGACAACTTAATCCCGTCCCACTTATCTTCATCCCTCGCTTTCAATCTCTCTCTCCATTTAACTCAATCTCTCACCCTCCTGCTCTCCTCAGCATACTTAGAAGAGGCGTGTGAGTGAGTGCGAGGTGGGAGGGGGCTGTTTGTCTTCATGAAAATCACTCCAGGTAACCTCTGGAAACCTCCTTGCCCCGACACCACAGCTATCGTGCCACAAAAAGAGATGAGCGCATAAGCACCGAAGCACTTGTCTTACCTGCAGGGGTCACATAACATCCTGACCTGTGCTTTTTTAATGCAATTTTAGTCAATGGCTGATTCAAAATAGCACACTACTGTACTGCTCTTACCGTATATGCCATATCTTCATGGTCTTCCGAATTCATCTAAAACTATCTTATAACTTACTGAATACTGCACACTTTATAGTTTACTGCATAATGTTTTTTAAAAAATCTGCTAGTGCTAAAGAAATAGCTGGTGAAACAGCAGTTATTTTTTGATAACCATCTTAAATATGGTTTGTCACTTGACAGTAACGTTGCATATTCAGTTCGAATTTAGCTCTCATCCCGATTCAGACCCTCTTATTCGATAGCAGAGTAGGATGCCTGAGGTTTAGGGGTGAGCGTGCTCTGTTTTCTGTCCCGATCTCCCACTGTCTGCAGACACTTAAGTACCTGGGATCGCGCTGCTAGTAATAAATATGCGGAGGCTTTAGTATAGTGTAAACATGTGCCTTGTACCAGAAGGTGTAAACCTCCTCTCGGATCGTTGTGGGGGGAGTTAAAAAGATGAAGTGCACTTGACGAGAAGCCTGTCTCCACCTTGTTGCTTTATGGTGTATTTGTTAACCTGTGACGTCCATGCGCTCACACGAGCACCTTGACCTCTCAGGTGTTTATGTCTCTGTGTGAATGAACATGAGTGTGAATGTTTCTGAGTGCACTTGAAAGTTTTTCCCACATAGATCTTTGTGATTTAGCATTAGCTCATTCGTACTGCAAGCCATGACGTGAGCAAAAGGCATTACGGTACATAATAGGCCTTTTAACCCCTAACTTATCTTGTGCATAGATGCTGTGAATCACTCCACCAAATGGTGGTGATTGGCGGAGGCCATGACCAAGTGCAATGGTCGTCCTTCTACTGGAATGTACCCTCATCCTCGTTCTTCCCATTAGTCGGGAATCAGTAGTCTGGTGCCCCTCAGATATGCTTGGGATTTGGCCAGGATTAGTCCGTTACAGTTTGTGTTTCTGACTGATTCTCATTAAGCTGCTAATGGAGACAGGAGTCAAGCCTTTAGCAGGACACTTACTTTAGTAAAGTTACTGTCAGCATTAACGTTCTTTCAGAAAACATAAATGCCTTCAGAAAGAACATGGATTCAGGCAAACATAACTATTACTGTTGCATATACTTATGGTTATGGATTTAAACAAACCCCTAAGCATTAAACTTCGGCTCATAACTCAACCAACACTGTTTGTGCTCTGGACATGAATGAACCCTCAAATCATGAGGTTTGCTGTGGAGATGTGCGCTACTACTTTTATTAAGCGATCTGACTTATCTTTTTTTGCCTTGCAGACAATGAAATGGGCAAAAATAAACATATAGTTACACTGAAGGAAGGATCCAGTCCATGGATCAGTTGCATAAACATAGCCGCTGTTGACTGCCTTAAGAACTAGTTTGACCAACTAGTAGCTAGCCAAGAGGTAATCAGACCTACTTTTTGGATTAAAATTAGACCATTCTCCCTTTTTATAATGGACTTTAAAAAGTTATTACCAGTCTTAAAGAAAAAAAAGTAGATGACTAACTTTTTAAGACTAGTCTAAGCAGTTTCTGTAACCGACCCCATACCTAAAGAACAGAATATCCCTTAGAATACACTCTAAAAAAAATGCTGGGTTGTTT